AGAGCTTGAGGCGACTGTTGGGGTACAACTTTTCAAGCGACAAGTCAATTTTAAATGAAAGTCTCCGTCCAAGAATTACTGACGATGTGTAAAACTTTTCCGAGCTGGAGGAACGTAGCACAGAGATAAAACTGGCACAAATCTTTTTTTTTTTTGGGCTCTGAAATCTATGACTGAAAGGACGACAGTCCCTATAGTCAGGTTGTTCCTCCAGGTATGGTATGCTCAACCAGGTGTGTAACTGCTAATGTGTCTGTAGTATTTCCACTGCTACACAGAGTAGTACCGCTGGCCAAAACCCGTGTAGTAACTTCTGCTTGTGTTGTTTAGTGCGATTGATTCTCCAAGTGCAATTTGTTAACTGAAGCCGTGTATTAGTGATTTTGATTGTGTGGATGATGATGTGTATACCGCATGTGTGTAACAGAAGGCAGTTGTGATTGCCATGTATTTTCAGTAGTGTTCGCGATAACGGACTATAAAGGCTTGGGCTAGGTGGAACGATTAAATATTATACATGATATGTGACGAATAGCAAAATTAAAAAGGCGTAAAATGTAACAAACTGGTTAGGAAAGTTAACGACAAGTTTTTACATCAAAAAGATATTTTGGCCTTTTGAAAAAATTTGGCGAGCTGAGTTATCTTGGCTAGATAATTGTTTTGAAAAATTGAATGAAAATCGGTAGCATTGCCGAAAATATCGAATTCAGCTCTAATATTATCGAGTCTTCTGCAGTGGAAGGTTTGGTGAATGTAATCGTCAAGTTGTCCACAGTAACAACCATTGTGGAAGAATACAAGTGAGATATCTTAGGGTTGACAGCTAGTTGACAGGGTGTTCAATATGGCGATGACAGTGTGAACAATATGGCAGCCAATATGGCAAGGAAAACCGAACGGCCCGAAGCTGCAAAACTACGACCCGAATGAAATAATTCGGGAAAAAATAACGGGAAAAACCAGGGTTCCGAGGTGCTGTTTCGTGACCAGAGTTTTGTGCAGCTCCGAAAAAATATGAAACAGGGTTCTGTGTTTATTGGAATTATGTTGCTTTGCAGCATAATTTTTTAATTATAATTTTATTCCAAATAAAGAAAAATTTAATTTTATCGAGTTTCGAAGGAACAAGAAATATCAATAAAAATACTTTTAAACTATGGTTTTTAATAAATTGAGTAAATTTTTTTATTTATTTTGAGACAAAATGTAAGTATACTTATTATTTCAGCATGTTACTGTGGCTGCTTCCGTCACTCGCGCGCACTGCCGTGCGCTGTGATAAATATTATCTGAGAGTTATGATGGTATTCAATAATCCAGTGTCATCTCAAGTCACTAAATTTGAGACAATTCGGGTTTTCAGAGAGAAAAACAGAAGGAAATTGATTATTGTATTTCATTCCTACACGTACTTGAACAAAATGCCAGATCAGTGCTCATAATTGTGAACAAATATTATTTTCATGTTGTTTATTTCCTTTGTTCTGTTATTGAATAAACAATAGGGGTCTTCATCAAAAGTGATAAACTCTTGATAAACTTGATAAAGTGATAAATTTATCATTTTGATAACTGAACTGTAAAACTTTGTATGGAAATCTATTTAACCAAAGTTTATCACTTTATCAAACGACTTTGGTGGATAAATGTATAAATTTAAGTAAAATTCAACCCCTATAGGTTGCCAGGTAGTCGCTTTTGCTACGAGCACATAAAAGCAAATGAACACAATGGACGAGGTAAGAATGAAACGTAACTAGCCATATAAGTTAAATAATCAACAGTTTTATGCGAATATTTACCATGGTGTACCTATTACCAAGGTACCTCTAATAATTAGGTGCTTTAAGAATTAAATAAAAATAAATCATCTCTTCTCCCCTTTTTGACAATGTACGCGCTAATAATATTATTTTACAAACAAGTTTTAGACAAAATGTGTAATATTTGTTGCTAAAAATACAAAAGCTATATGAAAAAATGACTTCTCAATGAAAACTGTCCAAAAAAAATTTAGAGTTTTGTATTTAAAATGAATCGGAATTTGGGGGCCATAAAAATGCGTTTTACTCATGATTCAATTATTAAAGGTTTTGTAAGTAGCTTTTTTCTAAAATTTGGCACTCCCACCCACAGGGATGGTTTTTAGAAGCAGAAGAAAAAGGGGAAGAATTCAATCACACTTCCTAAAATGGGAGCTAAATTCTATAAAAACGTGTGGATAATAGTGAATGGTGGTATTTTAAAACAAAAACGAATTTGATTTAATTATTTAATTTAAACAAGCTTATTTACATCGAATATAACCCCCTATTGTTATTAAAAATAAATATTTCTATGTTTATACCAAACTTGCGTACGTCAGATGGCGCATAACTCGAGAATGGATGGTCCACTTTCAGCTTTTTTTTTGTTGTATTTGTTTGCCAGTTGATGGATATGAAGAAGCTATTTGTTTGCGGAAAATATGCAATATTTATTAAACAAAAAAACGGCAAATAAAAAAATTTGGAGCTTACGTTTCTTTCGCGGTTATGGCTCGATTGTTTCGAATTCTTTGATGTCGCACTTTTTATGTTCTGGGGAAAATATTCAACCCTGGCTTGCACAGCCGCAGTTGGCGATTGGTGCCGGACGAACTCAGAGCACGCAGCTACTGAACGACTGAGATAGGGAACGTGATCTACATCGTCAAATGAGAAGTGGCGTAATGGGGCTTTCGCACGAGGCGATTTTTCAGGCAACTTTTGCGTTCAACTCCCGCCGGCTTGCACGAAAAAAAATTTGAATGACTAAAAATATCAAAATATAAAAAAATATTAAAATATTCGCCATAAAAAGGCGTTTGTATTGTTCAACTTTGCATTCTACTTTCAACTAATCGCTTTCAACGAAGTTGGTCGCCAACCAACATTCGCCTCGTGCGTAAACCTTTTAAGTGTGCAATTACATCGCGCCATTGACTAAACCGAGCTGTCGTGTGACGATTGGGCCTATGGATGCGGTTTGGCAATGTTATATTGCGTCAAAATCTCATTCGGAGACACCAGGACTGTGTCGTGGAGTACAATACCTAAATACCTTCGTTGGCTCATTGAACGCTTTACTTTACAGCGACTTGGCAGAATCAAGAGGTCTCCACGAATATCGACAAATACATTTCGGCATTTAAGGAAATTTCGTCTCTTAACATTGAATTTCTGTAGTCCAACGATTCTCACCCATTTTGTCTTGTTGGCGCCAGCGAATGCAGAACAAACATTTCTTCAAATTTAAAAAGTAAAAATTTCACTACTAACAATTTAAAAATGTTCTTAAAACTTGCAAAGAAATTTGGAAAAGAAATATCACTGTTTTTGTTTTTAGGAGTAGGGTGGGAGTGTCATTGATAAAATTAGAGCGAGAGAAAGTTTTTCTTACAAAACCTTTCATTATTGAATCATGGTTTTACTCCAAACTTTGTTTTTCGGATATATTTGCCATTCTTTATTGGCTCAGATATAAATATTGAATGAACTAACATATCTTAAATTTTTACAAAACTACCTTTAGTATGCAACCCTGCCAATATGCAAGGAGATGTAATTTGAAAAATTTAAACGGATTTCTTCAATCAACCTGAGCTGCGGACATCTTGCGAATTTATTTTTAATCATTTAATAGAG